GTGAGGCAAAATGAGGAGTAAAGAAAATATAGGGGTTTTTTCTGAGAGAAAAAAATTCAAATGCAAAAAAAAAAGAAAAAGAAATATTACCCATTCTCATATTAAGCTCTGATCATCCAAGTAGAAAGATTATTCCACCTATTCAAAGAATTGGGTATTAGGAATGATGGAATATTGTGTGTAATGGAAGGTTCTAGAATTTGACAGAGGAAAAGGGTTGCGTCCTTATTTCAAAGCAAACTATAATAGTATTCATACTTGCCTTTCCATGGGTGCCTAAAATGTATGACAAATGCTAGCATAAGAAAAGCTCATCTGAATTTTGCAGAGGTATAGAACGTATCTGGAACGAATGTCGAGACTGATTTAGTTACAGAAATACAAGCACACTCAATATTGAATTGGAACAGATCCTGATGATCTGATGCTACATTTTGTGAGTTGTCTAGAGCGTGGACACAATGGAGAGCTGCTTTCTTCCCCTCCATGTACTATAATTGTGGCAACAATTCATTTTTGCAACTAGCTTGTGCTTCCCACTAGATTTGGCTACAGCTCTCATGAACAGATTTCTCTAGAGTGGGTGTCAGCAACCTGTGGCTCTTTGGGCGCTCTGCTGTGGCTCCCTGTTGGATGATTCCACCACTGGCTGGCCTCGGCCCTTGCTCTTTCCCCTCCCAGTCACTCCTCGCCTGACCCGAGAAGGTAAAACAAAAAACAGAAATGGGAGGGAGAGAGAAAGAGAGGCCCATTTCCCACAGAAAACACCAGGAGCCACAAAACCAGGGTAGGCGTGGTGGGGTCATGTGACTGGGTGGGAGTGACATTGAGTTGACCACACCCACCCAGGTTTTGAGGCTCCTGGTGTTTTCTGTGGGTTTCGATTCCAAATGGCTCTCTGACTGTTTAAGGTTGCAGACCCCTGCTCTAGAGGCAGGAAGTGGACATGAATTTGGAGATATATGAATCGGTTTGTTTTGCTTACGTTTTAGCGAAAGCAGCCAGAAGGGGAAAGAGAACAAAAATACTCCCCCATAGCTTCCCCCCACCCTTTCTCATTCTTTTTTCTATTAAAAACCTGCACAATGGCAGGTATCAGTATGTTTTCCCCTCTGCGTTCAAATGAGAGGAATTTGAATGGAATGCTTCTGAGAATATTAACTTTCTTGCAATGGGGGTAGGATTAAATTAAATGCTTTTAGTGGAAGAGAGAGGCTATCTTCACACGTTGATTAAGCTATGATGTGGTTTGATTTTGGCTTGTTGTATAAGCCATTACATTGTGTTTTTAAAACCATGTTTCAGGCAACTGTGAACTTAACATTAAACTATGGTTAAACGAACTTTGCATGATGTATTGAACCGGATCATAAGAATGGGATCTCCATGTAGCAGATCCACCACCAACCAGCTTGGTTCTCTCATGCCATTTGTCACGGTTGCACGTTGTGTAGAGTTAATTTGGGTAGCTACCAGGACATGTCAGAACTGGAATTTCACCTGAACAAGATAGAAGGCTAATTTAGTTGATCACAGCTAAAAGAGAGGATTTTGTACCTGATGTTCTGTGAAGGTTAAAAGAAAAGGTACCTTCTTCCTTGGAGAATTATATGGAATTTCTTTCAGGCTTCTTTCTTCCTTGTTGCTGTTGCTTCCGTGATAGCTTAGTTTCTGTGGATTTGGTTTTTCAAACCCAAACAAACTACAGGTGGGAACCCAGTCAGAATGGTTTCAAAAGCATCATATTAGTTTAGGCAATGTTGTGTCAGCCAATGAATTATGTTTATTCAATAATTCTTGATTAATCACTTCATTGTACTGTGAAAACATCTATAAAGTGTATAGAAGTATTAATAACCTCTTTCCTCTCATCCATATTAAGTCCACATATTTTGACAGAAAGCACAAGTAATTTCTTTTCCCTCCTATAATATGGTATTTGAGTAGCTCCTGAGGAACAGCTATATTTTTAAAGAACAAATGATACTTAGACAGCATGATTATTTTTTTCCTTGATAGTGTAGAAGCAATTTAAACATTTGTTCTCTGTAGACTTAAAGGCTTGTAAAATTGCAGTTAGCTGTTAATCATTCTATATCTTTAGTGAAATTTCAAATTAAAGCAAGGATTAAAGCAAGGTCAAAACGTTATTTAATTCAGCCGAACAATAAAGTGCCTGCATTCTTTAGGGGAGAAAATGGGTTGAGTGCTATTGATCAGAGCTGGGTAGCATATGAGTGGTGCTGAGAACCATTCAGCAATTGTAACTGTAATTGACCAAACATATTCAGAACTGATAAAATAGATCAGGGGTCTCCAACCTTGGCCACTTTAAGACTTGTGGACTTCAACTCCCAGAATTCCTCAGCCAGCTTTTTGCTCTTTTGCTGGCTGAGGAATTCTGGGATTTGAAGTCCACAAGTCTTAAAGTGGCCAAGGTTGGAGACCCCTGAAATAGATGGTTTGGAGACCACTTCTTATCACTGGGCTTGCATAAAGCAGATGCAGGTTGAAATTCCCACTTGATCTCAAGTTGAATGATGTACCCTTGGCCCAACACCCTTCCTTGGGAGTTGTGGGAATGCAATGAGAGAAACTTTCCCCTTCTCTAAGCTACCAAGAGAGAAAAAAAAAACCCAGAAATATAATGATAGATCCATGGACACTTATTAAACATGCAATATTATAATTTAGGACACATATATGTGTGAATTCAGCCCTACTAAGATGGAGAGTTTATTTATTTGTTCATTTGTTTGTTTGTCAAACATTTGCAAGGTAACAAGTATAGGTAAGAACATAAACAAGAACAAAGGGAGTACATACAGATAAATGGGGACATTAAGACAGGGACGGTAGGCACATTGGTGTGCTTATGCACGCCCCCTTTAAGGACCTCGTAGGAATGGGGTGAGGTACACGGTAGACAGTTTAAGGTTGAAGCAGTGAAGGGTTGAGGCTGTAACAACAAAGTTGGGTAGAGCGTTCCAGGCGTTGACCACTCTGTTACTGTATTTTCTGCAATCGAGTTTAGAGTGGTTTACCTTGAGTTTGTATTGGTTGTTTGCACGTGTATTGTTGTGATTGAGGCTGAAGAAGTCATTGACAGGTAAGATGTTGTACAGACTACTTTGTGTACTATACTTAGATCATACCGCAGGCGGCACAGTTCCAGATTGTTCAGGCCCAAAATTTTGAGCCTGGAGGTATAGGGAATTCTATTGTGAATAGAGGAATGGAGAACTTTTCTTGAGAAATACCTTTGAACCCGCTCAATTGTGTTAATGTCCGATATACAGTGCAGGTTCCAGGAGGATGTGCTGTATTTGAGAATTGGTCTGGCAAAGGTTTTGTATGCCCTAGTGGAAGCTAAGCTTTTCCAGTTGTAGCCCACATACAGTGTGGAAATTGCTAATGGTGACAAAAATAATCGCTCATTCCACCTTGCTCTTTACAATCTGGTAACTTCAGGATGCGCTCATGTAGTTTTCTTAACTATAGCAATTTCACAATGGCTGCTTTATGGGATATTTTGGAGAGATTTCAACTCAGGTACTTCAGGTGGATATCCTAAAAGGGACCTCAGAGCTACAGACCAGATGAAAGTTGCCCATAGCAACTGATACGTGCGTAAGATTATGCAGCAATTGGAATAATGTAGATGATGTTCTTGTTGTGACCGCCACCAAAATGGTATTTCTATATTTTTATAACCATATCATGTGTTATGATCTGGTTTTAATTAGAGTAGAGTAGAGTAGAGTAGAGTAGAGTAAAATAGAATAGAATAGAATAGAATAGAATAGAATAGAATAGAATAGAA